TAACAAATTTTAGGCTGTATAAAATGTTAACAAAATGATAAACGGAAAAAAAATTTAAAAACGTATCGGTAAACTAATTATTACAAGTCCCCTATATAAATGTTAACTCTGCTTAAACAATCCTTAGTTTAGAAAATTATGTTTTCTTCCTTCTGTTAAACAAGTATAAGCAGATAATCTAGTTTTAGTCAAAATGTTTGGTGGAAATATTTATTTTGGATGCCCCTGAAAACTAAAAAGTGGTTTTTCAGTTAGTCATGGCTGTATGTATGTATGTGTATGTGCGTGAATGTCTACAGAACTATAGACTACACCTTTGATCCAATATTTAAGAGATAGTATGTGGGTACTGTACTAATCTATGGTACCTCCAGGGGTTTTTTTCAACTTTTTGAAATTTTGATTTTTAATGGCAATTTTTCCATAATAACTAAAAAAATAACAGAAAAGTCAGACTTTTTCAAAATCGGCTCAAACGGATTCAATCAAAATTTGGTATGTTCTGGTAATTTTAATTATAAACAAAATCACGAACAAAAGATGTTGTGACTTTTGTGATTTTACCCCAAATAACATTGTTACTCCTACCACTTATAAGGGTTTTTTGAAAAGCTTATAAAAGAAAGCATGTGTTGGTTTGCTGGTACCATTTATTGACATTCTATTAATTCTTTTCCTTTTTTTATTTTTATCATTTTTATTTTGCATTCACTCGTCACTTGTTTGCTGATCTTCTCCAAGGATATTTTCTCCTTGAAGCATCCCTATTAAACCTGTGCACTCAGCCTTGACAAGTAGAAGTAATGAATTGACAGCTAGGGGAAAGTGGAAAGCCAGTAAATAACTTTCTAGGGTTGTGCGAGTAGTTTAATTCAATTCAAATTATCTTTATTCATCAAGTACATAAGAAATACATACATGAATAGTGTCACATTTCTTAAATGATAAAGTTATAATAAAATATACATGCTTATAGTATATAAGAGAAAATTTTGAAAGAACCAAGAGAAAAAGATATAAATATAGTATATATAAATAAAGTTTTAATATATACTTTGATTTAGTAGGGAAAGAGAAGTAAATTACAGTGCTGTAGTAGATTTATTAGTCGAGTTAACAAAAACCCACAAAATTGGGGCTAGTTTTTTTATAGTGAAATGACAGTTGCTTTAAATATCAAAAATAAGTTTTCATAAAACTATTAAATAAGTACTTTCTAGTATGTACCAAACAATGTAAAATACAGTTTAAGTAGCTATACAATTATTTAATACATTACACTTACAGACACTTCTCAGGAATAACTGCACATATGGTGTGATCTTCAGGGTATGAACTTTCTTTTATCTAATTTATCAAAGAACCGTATAAAATAAACCCTTAAGTTGAATACCGAAAGTTAAATCAAATTAATTATTGTACAACTTGGCCATACATATTTGATGCAATTTTATACGTTCTATAACTTCTATAGCACAAACTAAATTCAATTTCATAATTTTTTTTGTAATAACTATTGAAATTCATTGACCAGTAAGCTTCACTCCAAAACATTTGTGATAGAAGGAGTCAATATTGTGAACAGGAAGTGTTTGGCAATGTTGTGTGAGTAGGCTGGTAGTGTTGTTAAACAATAACTTGTTGTGCTGACCTACAGAAGGCTGTTGCTTTAAGTAGGCCAGTGCACTTGATGAGGGGGGTCAGTTTTGTGTGGAGTGGTGAGTGTGGTGCACTGGAGGACAGGGTCCTGCTGGGGGGGGGGGGGGCTGGAGCCCAAATCCCTTGGCCTTGGGTCCAGTTAAGGCAATGTTAAGGGTTTTCAAAATTGGCGTTTAGAGTCTTTTCCAAATTGGGGTTACATATTCTAACTAAATGATTTATACAGTTCCAATCTACTCTACTTTTTCGATTGCTTATTATCTTTGTGTTCTTTGTATTGTTTTGGGTTTTAATAAAGTTGGGTTTTATAAACGAGTGTTCCCCAAACCACCTGCAACGTTAGGTACCTCTGGCTGGAGGTAGGCCTACCCACTGTTACTTTGGGTGACATAGCTAAGGTATGAAACTCAGCTCTCGCTTACAAAACCCAACTTTATTAAAACCCAAAACAATACAAAGAACACTAAGATAAGTAACAATTGAAAAAGTAGGGTAGACTGGAACTTAAACCATTTAGTTAGAAACTGTAACCCCAATTTGGAAAATACTCTAAAACATCAACTTTGCAAACCCTTAACATTAACTTTCCTGGACCCAAGGCCAAGGGCCTAGGGCTCCAGGTCCCCCAGCAGGACCCTGTCCTCCGGTGCATCACACTCACCACACCACTCAAAAAAAAAAAAAAAAAAAAAAAAAAAAACTGACCCCCTAATCAAAAGCACTGGCCTACTTAAAGCGATTGCCTTCTGTAGGTCAGTACAACTAGTTATCGTTTAACATCAGTTCCAGCCTACTCACACAACATTGCCAAACACTTCCTGATCACAATATTGACCCTTTCTATAACAAATTGGATACAGTAGCCATTAATTACATCCACCAATTTTAGTTTTTAATTTATTTTATCTACTCTCGCACGGTCTGCTGTCTTCACTGAATCGTCAAATTTTGTAAGGACAAGGAAATGCAATTTTTTTTGTCATAATTAACTTATCCGTCATAGCTGTAAAAGGAGCTCTGATAACTGGTGTTAAATTAAATCAAATGGATGCATGTTGTATTTATGGCAATGGCTTAGTATGGTTCAAACAAAAAAAGTGTCTGTCTCTCTGGCCTAACCTCTAAAATATGCTCTCATAATTTATTTGCCAGATTTGGGAAGCTGTCACCGTCATTTCGTTTTGCCCTTGCTGTATCCAAACCAAGCAATTTATACTATTCTCAGTTTTAACAATTTAAATTCAGAATGTTGTAAGGTCAGTTGACTATAAGAGTTATACAATAACTTCCTATAGTAATGATTGTGCTATGATTCTGCCCTACTGTACAAATATAAAAAAGCTTCCAACAAACTCATTAAAAACCTTGATTCTCCCAGTTTTCTTGAAAAGCTCGAGTCTAGTAGTAAAATATCGCTCGAAAACTTGACCACTTTAGTTTTCGCACACCCCTACTTTCTATACACATGAGTTTGCGCGATTGGTTGAGGAAGCTAGTTTACTGTACTTAATGTTCGAAAATTACAATTTGTTTATTATTGTCAGTGAATGAATTTCAGCTTCATTTATCGTAAACTACTTTTTGAGTGAAAGTCAGTATTTTATTTATAATTATAGAATATAAGATTGAACAACAATGTATTTATGATTTGACATGTCACCTGTTTTATATATGTGTACTATGTACAAACGTTTTTTTGCGACAAAAAAACGTTGTCTGACTTGATTTGATTTGAAATTGACAAAATGAGTAAGTATAAAGGCTCGCTGTGCAGTTGAGTGGTTAGCCCAGCAATCAAAAGGGTCGGCAGTTCAATCCTGTGAAGTCAGTAGCTCTATGACTCCACTGACCTTGACTATTGGGTTTTTAATTAACTGTCCTGGCTAAAGAAATAACTGATCTCAGTTATACAAAACTACACTAATAATTTTACTATATTCTACTAAACTCGACTAATCACACATTTTCTTCCAGAGCAGCAACTCACTAAGCGAAGAGAAAGAACACAAACGCAGTAACATGTCCTTCTTCTGGCGGAAATGTCAGGTGTTGATGTGGAAGAATGTGATCGTGAGGAAGCGTCACTGGTTCCTCACCCTGATCGAGCTTGTGTTCCCAATCCTGCTGTTCTGGCTGGTGGCATGGATGAGGCAAAACTCTGTCTTCGGACAGCAGGCCAGCGAGGTACCCACGACGGTGAATCCTCTTTTGAACGAGAACACCGTGAGAGATTACAGGTTTGTTGTTTTACATTGCAGTTCTTTCTTAAACTAGAATGCGGAAATAATGTTAAGGATAGTGGAAGTGGATGTTCATCGTTTTCACCGTTAAAATTATACAGTGAAATCTCAATCCTCAGGAGATGACGTCTTCTGGATGCCGAAATGGCAAAAATATTGGTAATTTTCAGACCATTCCATTTTCCTACCAACCTACTATGTTAATGTTAATTGAATAGTTGGTTTTAGTAGTTTGCTATGGTTTTTAAAAACTCAAAAAAGTTAACTTGATCGTTTTTAATCTTTTGAATATATATATATTTGGAAATAATTACTATCAACATTTACAGGTGTTTTTGTACTTAATTTTGAAAATATGATCATAGATAAAGCAGATAACTTCACACATTTAAGCAAGTTTTAGCGAATTTCCCTATAGGGAAGTAGCTATTACCGTAGGTCTCATGGTAAGACCTAAGCCCGGGACCGATTTACTTTTTCATTTTGATGTCCCCAGAGGCCAAAAACACCATTCGTTCAAATTTTTATATATCTATATATAGATATGTATATATATATATATATGTGTCCATCCGCACGATAACTTGAGTAATTTTTGTCCGATTTTGATAAAACTTGGTTTAAAGGTGTAAGGCGGGATAAACTTGAATGAGTTCGCGAACCAGCATGATCGGACTATGGGAACGGGGGTTTATGGGGGGTTTTATGGGGTAAAAATAGGTTTTTCCCATTTTTGGCCCTAAAAACACAAAATTTCACAATTTCTTTTCAAACCATTTTGTAGAGCTTAAAAAAACAAATAATTTAGTATATTGAAGCGTTATTATGCGCCTAATTGTTACGGAGAAAATTCAAAAAAATTGTAATTTTAAAATTTCCATGTTATTCTTATGGAGAACAAGTAAACTGTTGTAGTTTGCTTGTTTATGAACATATTTTGATCAAATTTGGAATATACATTAATTTCTTACTAAACCACAGTACCTTTTAATATTTTACATTAAAAAAAAACTTTTTTACCCTCCCTGTTGCAGCAAACCTAAGTACTCATTAAACTAATTCTGTTTAAATAGGGAATAAATGTGATATTTTTAAGGAGACATTTTAGTTTAAATCCAATCAGGCAGATGGAAATTCGCTAAGTCTGCAGGTTTGCTGCGGCGGGGGTATTTTACATTATATTGAATTTTTTTTTTATTCTCTGCCTACATATTTTTTTACAGTTTCATCCATCACGATGTAGTAAACTTTGCGTACACTCCCGACACACCGTTCACTCGAAAAGTCATCACGGAACTGAACAAAACATTGATCTACTATCTGAAGGATAAAAGCAAACTGGGTGAGTTTAAACTATTGTTTTGGGTCATGTACAATTTAATGCTCTTTGTTTAGGCGTACACATAATCAAAGGGGTCAAATTTATATAATCATATTCATATATTGCTTGTTTGGGAAAGTTGCACTTGATTTTTAAGTATTTCTTCTACTTAAAGAAAAAAAGCTGTCCCCGTTGCCTTTTTGCAACAAAAACAAGTTTCAAATGACTAATACTTTATGTTTGACATCTTTGATAAATTACCAAGAAATAGAGCATAAAGGAAATAAGATTATTTTTAAAGTTAAATTAATAATGAGTGAAATCAAACTTTACCATAACTTGGAAACACTTGCAATGGTAATAATATGATTAGATTTGTCTTGAAAATGTTAATTTTGGTTGTTCTAGTTTTTAAATTGTTTATGAAAAATCAGAGAGTAAACATTTAAATAATGGTGTACTACAAGCAGACTCCTTAAGTATCTATAATATTAAAACGAAACAGTGTTTTTTTATTTCACGATTCTGAATCAACCATTGGACGGATTTTCATGATTTTTGTGTTGAAAGAAAGATAATTTTAAAAACTAGGGAATGTCGAAGCCATAATTTTAGTTTAGGGTCCCAGTTTTTTAGAAATTAAGTTTTATTTTTTAAAAAGTCTAGCAGCCGACGCTAAGATTCTAAACTAGCTTTTGACATAAAATAATTTGCTTAACATAACAGCTTTAGTAAACATTCAGCTTTTGTGTCACAAATTCAGCATTTGGATAAAAATGTAAAGACATACTTAGGGTTGACTTATTTATACTAGGCCTATGTGTAATGCTAATCATTGATACGTTCAATTCTTCTGTAAGAGGATGACAGATTAATTAAAAATACATAGTAAAATACTAGGATGTTCAAATTATTTTTTAAAGCTATCTTTGTAATCTTCGATTTGTTTTAGAGCAATATAATTTGTTTTAACTAACAGCTGGTTAAATATGAACTATGGAACTATGAGGTTATTTTATTTACTCTTATATTTTGTCCTCGATTATAGGAAATAAGTAAGATTAGTTGAGATAATTAGACCACAGTTTAAAATAGTTTATACCAAAATTAATTAAACCACAGAACAAATCGAGGCTCTGTACATGAGTCTTAATAAAAAGGATAAATGCAAATTATTTTACTGCTCCACTTTTCAAGGAAAGATTAGAAAAATAACAATGTTTACATGTTTTAATTCTTCATGGTAGCTTTTTGTTTACAATTAATGTTTGTCTGCTTTAAGTTTGTTTGGATTAGGCCTGGAAATATTGATGTCATAAAAAGAAGATCAAGAATAATCAGGAATCACGATTTTAAATTACCACCATAACCTCAGCCGGGTTTTATACAAAGAAAAACAAATGGATGACATAGATTGAACACAATGTCTACTAATAATTACAGACCGTCTAAGAGAATAGATCAGCATTTGCATTCCATATTCATAAACTATCACATGTAATGTGTTTATTTTAGAATCTTTCGACGTCGTTGAATCAGAATACAAGCTAGAAGAGTTTTTCCACCTCAAGTATGAAAATGTGTCTACGTTCACCAACTACATTGGATACGGAATAGTTTTTGAAAATGTCGGAAATGGTTCTGAAATTCCAAAGGATTTTAAGTACAAAATCCGTAGCACTATTCCGAAATGGGACACAAAAGATTTGTTTCCCCAGTTCTTACCTGCTGGGCCTACCGATCAAGGAGGTAAGTTAGTATTTTTTTCTAAAATTCTTTACTGAATTTTATTTGGAATTCGACTGCCAATTGTTTATTCACATTATTCATTCTGATAGCCCCTGGACTACGGATAATGACTATAGGCTTACCTCCGTCAGTAGTCCAAAATTGTGTTTTCTATTTCAACTAAAATGTTGATCAAAGCTAACATGTTTCGTTGCACTGCAACATCGTCGGAGCTTTACATCAAAAACATCAAATAATTTACATAAAATACAACACGGGACATGGAACATTTATTATGGTATTCAATTTAATTATTAATTATTTAATTTATAATTATTTATTATGGTTCTCATCTTATTGGCTTTTATATAGCCAAAATGTTTACTGTTTCACTGCAAAGATAAGTGGTCTTAAAGACATTTAAAAAATGGGAACTCTTGTATTTTTTCAAGTTTGGACATAAAAACTATTATGGCTGTAATCGAGAAATGCTATAAAATAAATCTCATAAATAGACTAACATAAAATAGAGTAATTTACTATAAATTTTGCCTAGCCTTGAGCATTAGCCTTTATGTATTTTTATTTTAGCAATGAATATATCATACAACCAATAATTTTTAATGTGTTGTAACCTGTGAACCTGTTTTGCTACATCTAGTGTGTAAGTTTTTTTCACCCACCTTAATTAAATTTGTATTTTGTGGATTTTTTTAGATGTTCCTTGATTTACAACTATTTGTATGCCATTTTTTTAATCTGAGAAGATATTCAACTATCTTTTGAGTGGACTGTTGGTTTTAGAGAATTTCCCTATAGAAAAGTAGCTCTTACCGTAGGTGGCATGGTAAGACCTAGGCCCGGGACCGATTTACTTTTTCATTTTGATGTCCCTAGAAAAAGGCCAAAAACATTATTCATTAAAATGTTTATATATGTTTATTTAACATACATATTTGTCCGCGAACACGATAACTTGAGTAACTTTTGTCAGATTTTGATGAAATTTGGCTTCAAGGTGTAAGGCGGGGTAAACTTGAATAAGTTCGCGAACCAGCATGATCAGACTATAAGAACGGTGATTTTAGGGGGGGGGGGGGTTTTTAGGTGATTTTATGGGATAAAAATTGGTTTTTCTAATTTTTGACCCTCAAACCTTTAAATTTCCCAATTTCGCTCTAGACCATTTAAAGAGCTTAAAAAACGAATAATTTAGTATATCAAAGTTTTTTTTTGTACAGTTATTGGCAACGGTGAAATTTAAAAAAAGCGTAAATTTAAAATTCCCATGTTATTTTTATGGAGTATATTGTAAAGTGTTGTACTGTGGAACCTTGATAAGAAGGCCCTCGATAACAAGTCGCCCTTAATAACAAGTGTCATTTTCAAATCCCCTTAAAATTATTTTACTCCTAATCACATGTTATTACAAACCTCGATAAGAAGTCAACCTTGATAACAAGTCTTATTTTACATATAATCCCCATGAGAGTCTTGTTATCAAGGTTCTAATGTAGTTTGCTTGTTTATAGAAATATTTTGATCAAACTTGGCAAATTTATTTATTTTATACCAAGCTACTAATATTTTACTAAAAAACACACTTTATTAGCATCCCTGTAACAGCAAACCTAGGTACTTGTTAAACCTTATAATAAACCTAACATTATTTAAATAGATTTAATTTCAAATCAATTCCGACAAATGGAAATTTGTTTAGTCTTCAGGTTTGCTGCGGTGGGGGTATTTATTGTGCTCACAATATATGTATTTTCCAGACAGTTACCTGTACAAAGGGTTCCTAGCTGTGCAGATGGCCGTTGATAATGCATACATTAAAGTGGCCAGTGAATCAGTCTCATCTAAATATGAAGTAAGTTTCAATTACAAATATTATAAGCCTGCCTTAAGTTTTTTACTTTTTCTGTGGTAAGTTATTGAGAAATAACCTTAAAAACTTGAAAGCCTTTCTAAAAGGTCCAACAACCTAAAAGTTATCAAAGTATTATAGCCTATTCAGAATAAATTTAAAATGTTTATAAGTTTATCTACACAATGCGTTAGCTGATAGTAAACATATCTTATTTCTCTTCTTTAATTAATTTTTATACCAGTAAAATTGAAGATCATTTCAGTGAGTATTTTGTTAACCTATAAGATGAAACGTTATTACTAGCCAATACACAACCAATATGACGAACAAACTAATCTTTCAAACTACCACATAAAACGGTTCATGACGCTTCAGATAGAAGCAGTTAATGGACTAAGCAGCCTACAAAGCGATACCTGCAGAGAAGTCTTCAGTTTGTAGACTACAAAGAGATACCTGCAAAGAAGCCTACGACAAGTCACTACCCATCACAACTACCTTACCAGCATGCTTCAAATTGCTCACAACCATTCTATCACCTGACGCTGTAAGAAAAATCCCATCATCTGCAAGAAGATTTAATGAATGAGAATGAGAATGAAAATGAGAATGAGAATGAGATTTTTATTTGCCAGTTAATATTCTATGTATTCCAATTACAATATTCCAAATACATTGGCACGTCAAATTAGTCAAACATAACATTAATTAAAATCCAGTGGAGTCAGTGTTCTTGACATATAATCTTCTATTGAGTATAATGGCTGATTACAAAGAAAATTATTTATTTTAATCTTGAAATCCTTATCACTAAGTAATCTTATGGCTATTGGTAACTTGTTAAAAAATTTACTGCTTAAAATTAATGGTTTTTTATCAGTTTTAGCAAGTCTAACATAAGGAAGATTTATATTACATTTATGACGAGTATTATGGCAGTGTATATCTCTCCTATAATCTAACTTATCTAATTGTAGTCTTAAATATAACAGGCATTGCTTAATAAATAGAGAAAACAGTGTTAATATTTGGTACTCTTTAAAAAAGTCAGTGCAATCATGGTGCCTATCTACAGCAGCTATTACCCTAATTGCCCTTTGCTGCAAATTGAAAATTTCTTTTGCATGAGCAGAAGACCCCCAAACAAATAACCCATAGCTTAAATGGCTATGAAAAAGTCCATAGTATGCTTGTATGAGAGAGAGAGAGAGAGAGAGTATACCCACTACCAGTGCAAATGATCGTTCTCTATCAACAGAAGGCTCCTTGATTGTTTGTCTTATAGCAAGATGCTTCTCTTCACTAGAAGAATAGCTGCATTGAAAAAAGAAAAATGGGACTGATCGTCTAAAAAATTTAGCTGTACAAACATCCAAAAAATTGTCTTTCAGTATTTCTGGATGGAGCGAGGTATTTGCAATTTTTGTTCTGAATTGGTTGTGTACAAATTACAACTATGTCTTATTGTAATTTAAGTTGGTTTTTCATAATGAATTTTGTCCCTAAACATTTTTCAGGCCCAGTTTGTATAAAAAACACAAACAGTATAAAAAACACAAATACCAGCCACAACAATTTGGCAAGCACAGTTTCTCTTTTAAAAACCTATTGTATTTTAATTTTGCCCTGAAGTAAATGTTGCTAGGTACAGAGTTTTTACTTTTCCATATTTATGCATACCTTGAACTACTTTTAAAGATAACTAGATAGGCGTAGAAAGCTGTTTGACTAATCTTTTCAGATGACATGGTTTGTGTTGTTAGAAAATTGTTTAAATTATTAAGAATTAAATGTGATTCTACCGATTATGTTTTTGAACGATAAAACTACTTGATCATACACTAAGAGGATATCATGTTTTTTTTTTTTCTCAAAATGTTTAGTTATTATTGATGTTTCTAAAAAAAATATTTGAAAATTATATCTAAGTGATTCTTTTTTATTTATTCAACTTCAAATAAAACCATAAAACCTGCATGTTAATTCTCTGAGTAATACTTTTAAACTCACATTATTAATTATTTTTATTTTTCAGACATCGATTCGAAAGTTTCCATTTCCAAAGTACACAGTGGACATCTTCAATGAGCTGTTCAAATCTTTCATGCCGTTCTTCACGATGCTGAGTTTTGCCACCATTAGTATTTCCGTCTTGAAAAAAGTGGTTGAAGAAAAATCATCTGGAGTTTCGGTTAGTTACTTTTTATTGAAAACTCCATGTAATTTACTTCATTGGGAACTGAGTCGGATGATGAAAATCATACAACTTAGTAGCCTCCACTACTGGTATTTGGCCAGTCGTGGAACGTCGAGGTGATTTACTTCATTGGGAACTGAGTCGGATGATGAAAAATCATACAACTTAGTAGCCTCCACTACTGGTATTTGGCCAGTCGTGGAAAGTCGAGGTGATTGGTCTTCAATTCTGACTTCATCCGGAAAATGGATGTCACATTCAGGATGCTGAGCCTCCACTACTGGTATTTGGCCAGTCCTGGAACGTCGTTGTAGCGTATGACCCGCAGTTGTAGAACCACTGATTGTAGAACGTTGTAACGCTAGTATCCCTGGCATCTATGTGAGTTTACTGTTTAGCAATAATTCATGGATATTGTCACCAAATTTAATCTGCTGTTCAATAAAAATGTGGATACAACAGTTTATTGAAGGTTTAGAAGCAAAAGTCTCATTTAACATCCATAAATTTAATACTTGGTTTAACTCGAGGCAAAACATTGTTTGAGGAAAAGAAGATTTAAAACAATTATTTAAAGAACATCTTTCGATACTATATCTGCTTTATTCAGGTTATAATCTAATGGTTTCCATTCTACTTATAAACTTTTTTAGTTCAATAACATGTCCCAATTTTTTTATGGTGCAATTTTATTTTTTGTAAGCAACAATTTGCCTGGTGGAAAATAAATACATATGATTACATAAAACATGAAGGTAAATCTCATAGATGATATAAAATATTTTTTCATTAATTCCAAGGGAACTTAAAAAGTTAGAAGAGTCTCTGTTATTTGAATAAATAATTTACCTTCTACTTGGGTATTGATTTGTCCGTTATTGTTCAATTGAAGTATCGTAAGGGTCGTGAGGGGTCATTGGCTTGGAAGGCCATACAAATGCATGTTTATCAGAATCCAAGATAACAACCACAAGTGTGTTATCAATATTTACCACTTCTTGACCCTATGATTTTCTAACAATAGCTGTTGTTGAAACTTTTGAAGCCTAGTTTTAGTTTATTTTTTTTGATATGTTGCATTGACATTGACTTTTTCGCATCTCTCATACCAAATGTTGTTTTAAAAAAGAATTTTAATTATTTTTAAATCAAGAAATATATCTTTTTGGAAATAAGCCCATTGCCTGATAATTTAACAATTGGATCATGAATCTAGTTGTACCTTACAGAAATAGTATGCAATTAATAGTATATATTATTATTCGCAGGGAAGGTGCAATCCAAGGTCAAATAACCGGAGATCAGATTATCGAGACTTTACTGTAGGATTTTTTTGGGGGATAGGCTAGTGCAACTCACTTATGAGCAACTGGTCTTGTGGTAAAGTGCTGAGCTTTGGTCCTCAAGGTCCAGAGTTCAAATCCTGCCTATCGCCCACATGTAATTTGGCTACGTTAAAACACCACGAGCCTCTAAGCCTGAAGTAATGTGTAAATCGGTTCTAAGTCAAAGCCTAGTGTCCTTAGGATGTGAACATGGAATTTTTCTCTGCTCTGGGACGTCTTTAAAACTTTCCCACTTTACAGGAGCTGATGAAGATGATGGGACTACAGACATGGATGGTGTGGGCTGGCTGGGTGTTGAACGGTCTCATGGTGTACATTATCAGCTGTAGTGTCATCACCTTCCTGCTGTGCCACGGGTTCGATCCCGACAAAGGACCAGTGATCGCCCACACAGACTTCACTGTTGTCTTTGTACTATTCTTGTTGTTCTGTTTGGCAAGCATCTGTTTCTGCTTTGCAATCAGCTCTTTCTTCCTGAAACGTAAGTGTTTTTAGATGTCTTACTCTTTGGTTAACATTTGTCATGTAATCTCAACTATGAAAGTTTGTAAGTCAGTTTGAGATGACTTCTCAGCTGATTTGAATAGCTTGCTAGGCAGCAGTCTCATTATGACTTAGTGACTTAATATATTTGGGAAGATATGCACCTAATTCATTCTGATGTTTAATTAAGTACTGTAAGTCAAATAAAGATTAGGCCTATATATTTTTTCCAAGAGATGGATCTCAGTTAGCGTAGAGTAAAGGGGTTTTCACATTCACAATAAAAGGTAACATGACATAACACTGATATTTCCTCTTAATTTAGAGTCGGACATCTTCAGAGAGTAGTAGATTGAAGAAAAAGCTCAAGAACTAAAATTTCTTTAGGTATGCTAGCTTCTTTTGTGATAACTTTTAAGAAAAATTCCTAATTGGCTACTTGGTTTTCCTTCAAAATATTACTCAAGAAAGAGGAGTTTTTCTTTGAAAAGGGGTATAGTTGAGCTAGCTTAGCTGAGAAAATTAGAGTCCATGAGCTAATGGAGACAAAACAAGTTGTTCCAACAGTCAGTGTTATGTCTGTGACCTTTTATTGTGTATCTAGACTCTTAATATTCCCAGGTACGTTAGTTTACATTTTTCCATTTTCTAAGATTCCTAACCTTAAACATTTTTACAACCACAAAGTATGAAGAGCTTTGTTTGTTGCAGCGACGCTCGCCATGAGTGTAGGCATGGCTGTGTGGGTCGTGTCTTTCGGAGGATTACAACAGCATGTGTCCAGGCCCGGGATGCCCTTTATACTGCAACTGCTCCTTCAGCTGATCCCCACACTCAACATGTCCTCGGGCTACATAGTCATCGCTGCGTTTGAGAGTAGAGGTAAGCCTACGTAAACTATTGTCTATGGGTAGAAGACATTTCATCCCTACGCTTAAGTTGTTGCCAATACGAAACTTGGTTATTTAAAATATTATATAAGTACTCATTGTTATTCATACTTTGGTGAACAAAGTTTGCTTAGTCAAAAACACTGCTATCAAAACAACCTGTGCAACTTCAACCCATGTTTTACTATCTCAACAATACAATAAAAAAAGTACTTCACTGTCTTGAGATAAGACAATGTGAAGTAGTTCTAGGAAAATATTGCATCTTGTTTATGCCCCAAAAATAGTGCTTGTAGTAACTTATCTACTCAAAGTTCAATTAACACCCGAGTGTCATGTCTGACTTGTTATAGATAATGTTGTAGATTCCGAAACAAAATACAGCTGGATTTTTTATCTTTGAGATTGATTGGTTGGGCAATGATTTGTGCAATATTTGTTTGCTAATACAACTCTAATGTTTAATTAGTTTGTAGTAATTCAACATTTTGCTGCAATCAGACTGTAATCCTTTTGTAGCTTGTTCAACAAATTAGTAAATAAATATTTTTTTCGGATGTAAAGATATTAATATTAATAAGCTATGTAGATCTGATATGAAATAGCCTATAGGTTTTATTTTATAAGGAATAAACCCAATTTAAAACAAGTACAGCAGACCTCAAATGATCTTTACTTCAACTGTCCGAATCGCCGATAATATTAATCGCTTACAGAAGGAATTTTCAATACCCTAAAACCTTACGCTACTAGTATTAACATTCTTCATTCGAGAAAGCAGAAGCCGTGAACAGAAAATTCCTGAACATCTCCTGCGGTCGTGTGGACATTATCCTAGTTTTTTTGGTCATGGAAACATCATCGACTTCGTGATCACAGCCAAATCTTGAATATCTCCTGCCATTGTATAGGCTGTAGACATCATCATCGTCTCCTGCGGTCACAGAAGAGAAAATCATCATCATCCTTCCTAACTGCGGCGATAGCATGAATTTTTTAACTGCAAAACCTTTACAGAATTGTTCTTCGATTGCTATGGTAAAAAAACAGTTTGATAGTCTTTTTTTAACAACCAGAATTTCAGTGAAAATAAAACATCCGAATTATCAATTGATTCGGAGGATTGGAGTTCTACTGTATTAGCTTGACCCTTCTAGGCAGCTTGACAATTATAGCTCATCACGGCATTTTGTGTTGAGGAAGCTGGACGGCTAATCCACTGGCTCTCAAGTAGTTTGTCAAATCTTAGCAGCAGGTGCTAGTGTTGAACGTCCTTATAGTGGCACTTGTCTCGGATGTCGGACGGTGTTATGGTAGTTCCTAAAATCCTTATGTCTTGGATGAGTTGACGGCATTAATAGATTTTAATGGGGATTTCACACAACACCTGTTTCACTTATTTTTACACTTATATGAAGGAGCATGTATTGTTCTTTTTTTATGTTTTCATTTTGGTTACAAAGGACTAATTCTGTCGAAATATACATGCCTTAACAGATATAAAATAAAATTACCTAAAACTGCATTATTGTATTAAAATCACACGTCACAGAGTTATAACTAGTGTAGACAAAAAATCGTTGAAACTTAATTGTAAAAAAAAAACAAAAACAAAAAAAACAGGAAATGAAGTTTATGAGCTTGAGAGATAAAATTTGTTTGCAGAAAATTACTTTTTTGTCACTACAAATGCAATATGGATGACAAAAAAAGGAAACTACACAGAGAAATGTATTGTGGTTAAAAAAATTAACATAATAACTGTGAGAGAAAATAACTGGAAAAAATTTACGTTTAGCAAACATAATGGAAACTTCTGCCCAAGATGATGCAATTCAGAGATCACAATCCCTCCGACAAACAGCAGAAGCGATGGCAACGGGAAATTCACTAGAAAGACTATTTGTAACGTTCTTCATTTTGTTTCAGGAGCCAAGATCAGCTGGCTGAGTCTGTTGTCGGATGCTACGGGAGGTAACGGGCAATCCTTGGGCCTAGTGATGGTCATGTTTATAGTACAGATGTGTCTCTACATGTTTGTGACTTGGTACGTGACGTCAATCCGGCCAGGTCCTTACGGAAGAGCTCGGCCGTGGTATTTCATCTTTCAGGTACGTGTTTCATTAGTGATTATTTCCTATTTTTGTGCTTACTGTTCATATGGCAACAACTGTTAATATTGATAGTATCCATTATTGATTTAAACTTTGTTGTTTAAAAAATTCTGTTCATAAACTAGCCATTTGTGTAGCCTTGAAGTAAGATCAAGATTGATTATTACTGTCCTTTTCGTTATTTAAGGGTTGGTTCGTTGGTTGCATACATTTTCCATCACTATTAGTAAAAAAGTTACAAGATGTTTGATCATTATTGTTTGTTGAAGGACCTATTAATGGATTCATTACTGTAGTTCTGATAAAAAATATGTTTCAGTGTATGTCTACACCGAACAAGAGGGTCCGAGATAAAATCTTGCATAACGACGACGATGACGACGAGCATTACGAACCTGCGCCTAAGGACATGAAGATTGGGCTGCGGATTCAGGATCTGCGCAAAGAGTTTGGATCTGTTGTGGCCGTGGACAAGGTAAGGAAGAGTGACTATTGTTAGTTTGTAAACTAAATGGTAAAGGTAACTAAGTTTTAATATTGAAATATATTTATTTTTAAATTCGCTTGTCAACAAAATCTATATCAAATTACATTAGTGGTGATTCTAACTAAAATAACAATATTAATAAGTTGTATTGGTTTTTAAATTTTTTACTAACCTGATCTGTGATAACCACTGTATATCAGAATCAGGAAATTTATACAAAATACTAATATAATGTTACTTCCTAATATGAAACAGTTTTTTGGTCAAAAGCCAATGAGAAAAAAATCCAAATTGGGTGAAAAAACTACTCATAAAACCTTCAATAGGTAGACAAATATATAGGATGGAGAGGACACAGCTAACTCACCTGATGAAAGGTTGTGGACGAGTCAAAGAACACATAAAACACACACATAAAGTAGACTCCCTCTTATTCGGACTCCTCGGGACCGAGGCTAGTCCAGATAATGAGTTTTCCGGTTAAACCGACGTCCCCAAAAACTCGTTAAAACAGACTGTTTAAATGCATACTGTATACAGTATTTTACCTAAATTTAGGAGAGCATTGTATTTAGACTGGTCTCAAATCTTTCCCACGAGAACAGTCTTCTCAGTATCGCCCACTCCCTGCCGATCTAGTCCGGTTAAACCAACGTGCTGATAAAAATTGTCTGGTTAAAGAGATGTCATTTCTGCCGAGTGTAGTCAGATTAAACCGATGTCTGGTTAAAAGGTGTCCAGATAAGAGTGAGTCTACTGTAATAATACTTGATATTTTGCCTCAAAAAAATTTTTTTTTTTGTAACTACCATCTAGGCCTACTTCTGAAAAAGCCTCTGAAAGAGGCAAAATATCAAGTATTATTTTGTGTGTTTTTATGTGTTCTTTTACTTGTCTGCAACTTTTCATCAGGTGAGTTAGTTGTGTCCTCTCCATCCTATGTATTTATTTAATCCAAGTTAAATGCATTTTCCTAAAAACATAACCTAATAGATTGACAGTAATTTACAGCAATATTAAATATAAAAATAATTAAATCTAAGAAATGCCAAGTAAATGATAATTGTGACGTTCTTTTGTGTTGTAGTCTGTAGTCATTCAGTATTTGTGTAATTATGTTCTCTTTTCACTTTAGAGTGCTTGGTAAACTTGTTTGGATCCAGCTGATTTTACCAAACCCTTTTTCGTAAACAACGACTTTCATGTCTATTGTCTACAAAGAGACCATAAACCAGTTACTTCCGGTGTAGTGTGGCAAAATAATTACCTACAGTACTAGCCAGTTTTATATCCTTATTAATCTGCCCCTGGATAATTGTGGTTCTTCTTCTACGGTTATCATAAGTGTGTCTTAACAGCCTTTGGTAGCAGCAGATGATAATTATTTTAAATTTATTTTTACCCCTCTCACAAAAAATGTTTTCTTCCCATTATTTACCAACACTAATTAATAATTTTACCCTTATTTGGTTGTAGGTTAACCTGGACATTTACGAAGGTCAGATCACAGCTCTTTTGGGCCACAACGGCGCTGGTAAAACTACCACCATGTCAATGCTTACAGGTGAGGTTTTGGATTACATTAGATACTTACCTGACATTAGATACATACGAACCTGACACTCAAATGTATGTAATTTAAGTTGAGGATTATTATTGAATTAAGACAGCTTTGTCACTGACTAAGCTATCTAAAGATAAGCTACAGTAGTTCCTTAGCGAGGAACATCCATTAAAGCACAATGATCAAGGACAGCTGGGTTAAGTTTTGAGCCATGAAAAAACCTGCCTGCTCTCCAAAACCATTGACTTTAATGGCTAAAATAGACATCTCATTTGTGGACCAGCAGTAACCAGTTTTGTATTCAAAGAAGGCATTGTTGAATGAGTCATAGGATAATGTGCAACTTTGAAAGTTATAATTACTCTTACTTCAGTTTTTAGACTGGGAAGTTGATGGGGACATAAAAGATGATATAGTGTGCAATAGATTGCTGAATTTAGTAGAATAAGTCGACTGAATTGTTGAGTTCAGAACACTTATTATACTTAACTAGCTGTTACCCACAGGCCTCACCCCGTTGACGTCATAAGTATTAATAAAACTATTGATTGGTTAAGTTAAGACAATAATAGGTTTTTTACATACCTCAGTCAAATAGTCCAAAAATGGTATTGCTCAACAGCTTACATGTTTCGTTGCGAAGACAACATTATCAAAGCTTGCAACTCGTCAAAAACACATTTAAAACACGAACACGAACACAGAAGACATTAATACGGTACGAATACACAATTGACATTTAGATAGCGCTATCTAAATGTCAATTGTGTATTCGTACCGTATTAATGTCTTCTGTGTTCGTGTTCGTGTTTTAAATGTGTTTTTGACGAGTTGCAAGCTTTGATAATGTTGTCTTCGCAACGAAACATGTAAGCTGTTGAGCAATACCATTTTTGGACTATTTGACTGAGGTATGTAAAAAACCTATTATTGTCTTAACAATATAGTCCAGGGGCCGAAAACATGAATTTTGGTTAAGTTAAGTTGAAATAAACAAAACAAAATACAGTAATACAAACAAATAATCACACCTGATTTTAATAAGGCAATAAATTGAAAGAATAATACACGGATAAGTACAGCTGAGGTATTTTTAACATTATGTGTATGGAAATCTGAAAGTTACCTTTGGAAAGGAATTATGACCTTAAAGGGCAATTTATGAAATTATGGATAGTTTTGCGCAAGGTTTCTCGTCATGACAGACATTCTAAGTATATGGTTTATGGGGGTGTGACTTGTAGTTTTCTCAAAAGTTCATGGGTACTTTGGGATTTATATATGGACGTTATTCAGCCTTACACAAACATTTTTTTTTTTATTTGTGGTAGTTAAACTCTTGTGTAGTTGTTATAGTAGTACATTCTACACCTTCATAAGTTGACTCTTCTTAGCTTATAGGTTAAACTTGGAATTTTTTCCCCCTAATCCTACACCCTCTCTGTTACGTATGTGTTAGATTGTAGAGAGTTAGATTGTTATAATGTCAGGAGTAAGAAAGGTTCATAAACTTATCTCGTTTTTGATTGTTACTAAACCCTGTACAAGAAACCTTTATTTGAATTATCAAGATTAATCAATTGTGTGTTTCACAGGCATGTTCTCTCCCACTGCTGGAGCTGTTTATGCCAAAGATTACAACATCTTTGAGAACATGGACAGATTCCGCAACAGTCTAGGATTGTGTCCACAGCATGACTTGCTGTTCCCCTACTTCACCGTTATGGAACACTTGGTCTTCTTCGGAATGGTTTGTCAAGTTTTTATTTGTTCAATTTTCAGTTTATAACAGTACGACCCTAAAATATTAATTTCGCCCATTAAAAAATTATGTAATTGATGTTGTCATGCAAAAACAAATCAGTAGTTTATATTTGAATGAGCAAAAGCAAATTTCATGTACTCTTTCAGCTTCCTTTTATATATCAGATGGTAGACTAATCAAACTTCCACTTACAACTATGTATCCGAATATAACTCAGCCAAAACTGGCTGTAAGCTATACCGTCATATGCTTCAACCTGGAAGCTGAGCTAAGAACTTCGCTTGGGCTTATATTTGACAGGTGTATGGTAAACTGTTAGGTTTAATCTATGGCCAAGCGATCTGACCAGGAGACTGTACCGTATGGTAGGTTGTATTGTAGAAAAAGGAGGATAGCAGCTAGCTTACCTTGAAAGTGTAGAAGATACACTGTGCACACAATATTTCGTCCACTGAGGGACTTTGCCAAGTGTAGAGAATTGGTAGAGTTTGCAAATTACAAATGTATGGTAGGTTCAAATTCCATCTTAGTCAGGTATGCCGTCTGTCATAGAGATTGTGGCTTGGTGCAAAAAGCTACTAGGACAAACAATGAACAGCCCTGTTGAAGTTGACTGGAAGTGGGAATTTGTTGCGTGTCACACTTCAAATCAGGCATTTAGCTACTGTCTGTCCACTGGAAACTGGTTTTAATATTTGGATTTATGTGTTTATTAAGTTAGGACAAATATAAATAGTTTGGAAGAGTTGAGCACTATCTCCTCCATTGTGTTTTAACCTGTGTATGTCTATTCCAGTTGAAAGGCATGGGTCCCACTCTGGCTGGACAGGAGGGTGAGAAGCTTCTGCAACTGCTGAGGATCATGGACAAGAAGAATGTTCTTGCTGATAAACTGTCCGGAGGGATGAAGAGAAAACTCTCCCTGGCTATCTCTCTTATGGGAAGTCCTCAGGTGAGAACAAGTGCAACACCTGTTCACTAGGGGATTTGAAAATAAACTCCATTTCACATTCGATGTGCAGTACATAGCCATGTATTTCAAATTACAGTCTCAACAATACTAGCCGTCCTAAAAACCTTGGGATGTTCCAAATGCTCCTTTAACCCTTTGAGGTCGAATTTTTCCCCCATTTTTCGGAGAGTATATTTTGCCATTCGGGCAGTCGGAAAAATGGCGCCCGGTGACCTATGGTCGCCATTTGACCAAGAAGTTAACTTTCTTGATTTTTGATATATATTTTTTTTTTGTCCTTATAGTATGCCATTTTTGAGCAGTCGGCAAAATAGCGGGCCGCGACCTATACTCGCCATTCGATCGCAAAGGGTGTGGTCCTATAGCACCGAATCCCAACTAGCCGAAAGACAAATAAGTCCTAAACTGCCGAATGCAATAGTGCCGAATTCTTTCGGCAATTTGCGACGATTTAAACTTTATTTCGGGAGTTTAGGACTCTATTGAAAATATTTCGGCACATTAGGATTTATAAGTGTCAAATACCCGAATTGTTATTTCTGTCCTAAACTGCCGAATCTTAATCTAGCGGAACCATATTTACCATCAAAATGCCGAAAACTTTCTTTGGCGTAGTACGACTTAAGCGTCCCAAATCGCCGAAAGATCTATTTGTGTTAATTTGTCGAAAGAATGCATTAAAAGTCGTAATCTGCCGAACAATAGAACATTCCCCCTTCTTAAAGGGGAGGAGCAACAGGAGGGATCGAGGGGTAAAAACATGGCGTCGGTGCCCAAAGTCTCCGCCCACAGCAGCGTTTCCCCCCACCCCACCCTAGTACATTCGGATTAACTTTCGCCAAGCACGAAGTATTGTAGTTGTCTTGCTATTCACCGATTAACGAGTAGACGTCTACACACATGTGTCATATTCCGTTCAACTTTTCGTTTTTCGAATAGCAAATGTTCGTTCACTTTTATAAACTCGCAATCGCGAGTCTTTATATGCATGCAGTTATTTGCTCAGTACTCAGTGTCAGATGCTGTTCAACGAGTCACCTGAGACACTTAGAGGCGGTTCACGAGTACGGGGTTTCGTGGCCCGCGGTTATCGTTGTTCTCGGCCAATTTTAACCGACGGCCAAAAAATGGGTTCACAACATAGAGCGTTAGCCGAGATCAAGCTTAGCCGAGACCAACGCTGACCATCGCTCAACAGCAGGGATTTAACGGGGAACTTTCGTTATAAGGTTGGCAAAAGCCACGTGGGCTACAGGCCGAGCCGCTGCTCGCGGTCGACGAGTCCCAAAACAGTAGGATGACGTGATAAATTATTATATTTACAGTATACAGAGTGTTTACTGATATTGCATAAAAAGGTTGTGAACTTAACTTGCACTTAAATTAATTTTATACTAAAGTTTTAAGTTACTGGATTACTCATTGAATTATGAAATGAATAATACACTTTTACTGACATGTCATTGAATCGAGAAAATACAATGATGTTTTTAATAAAATTTGTTTAAACAAACCTTGGTAATGTTTGCAAACTAAATTTAGATCACCATTTATGTTCAAATTTAAGACATATTTATCAGGTTTGCAGTTTTATCCAAACATTCAAAATATTTCACAAAATGACTGTTATTTTCAAAGATTTATGAATATATGTTATGTATCAGTAATTTGTGAAAGAAAAAAAAATTGGAGGAACAACTGGCTATTATAGGAGTCGGGATGCCCTCATATGTAAAAAATCTATACTATTATATAAAAATCTAATGGTGTCTGTCTGTATGTGTATTACTAATAGGTGCAAAAACTACTGAACCAACTGGGCTTAAATTATACAAAATGATAGCTACCATACCAACGACCATTATAGGACTATTCACATTTCGATACTGACCGTAGGCTTTGCCCCTTTGGCTTTAAAAATTCTGAGGTGAACATTTTAAAAGTAAATATTGATTGGTCTCCATGGCTGTGATGAGAACACTAACAATGTTTGTTTACATTTGCTTTGGCATTTAAATGTAAACAAGAAGAACTGCTAAACTGCATATTTCACAATTTTAGACAGCTGATACAAAGAAATTAAATATAATATTTTCCATAACTATGAGGTAGGTTTATTTTAATCTAACTTTTTATCATGGATTATTTATTCTAAAACTATGTCAATGATTATAGAAAAAAAGATTCTATAACCGTTGCTGTATCAACTCAAGGCCCCACTCAAAGCGTCTAAGTTATGAAAATAAAGTTATTGATATGTTTTCATGGAAACAGTATCAAAATTACAATGTATAGATTGTTTGTATGAATTTGGAGCCTACTTTAAATAAATTGAAACTGCTTAACATGTGTTAGATTAACTTAACATAACTTGCACATCACATTGTTTTTTATATGTATATTTAGGTAAATTAAGTTATTGTGTTTTGCTAAACCTATGCTTAAACTAAACTAAAGAATATCATCAATAACTAAATTGTACGTTGATTTTTGTTTTCTAAAATCTGTTATATATATGTAACTATATTTAATTATCAAATGCTAATACAAAATACTCTTATTTTATCTTAACACAGCTTTCAGTTCACATTTACTTTATTTGATACATTTATTATTTGTGTTTTGCCAAACCACTGATTAAATTAAACCAAGGAAAATATCATAAAACTAATCAGTACACAGTGTTCTTTTGTTTCTAAAATCAATGAAATATCTGATACTATGTTTACTTAATGGTAATTGTGAAAATGTAAAGGCAATGGACGATGGAACTGATTAAAAGAACGAGTTTGTATATTAAGTTGTTTGTTGATATTTTTGTAGAGTAGAATCGGGAGATGCAATGAAACATATACTGTATTTGCTATTACATGTTTTAGTCCTTGATGCTTTGATAATCATATTAGTTTTGTCTGCTGTCTTCAATGCTAAATTATTTGTTTAATTTTTTTTATAGTACCTATAGATATAGTCTCTTTAATATTTAAAAAAAAAACAGTATAGATAAGGCACAGCAATCTATAATATTAAAACGAAAGTGTGTTTTTTTATTTCACGATTCTGAATCAACCACTCGACGGATTTTCACGATTTTTGTGTTGAAAGAAAGATAATTTTGAAAACTAGGGAATGTCGAAGCCATAATTTTAGTTTAGGGTCCCAGTTTTTTAGAAACTAAGTTTTAATTTTTAAAAAGTCTAGCAGCCGACGCTAAGATTCTAAACTAGCTTTTGGTATAAAATAATTTGCTTAACATAACAGCTGTAGACATTCAGCTTTTGTGTCACAAATTCAGCATTTGGATAAAAATAAAAGACATACTAAGGGTTGACTTATTTATACTATGTGTAATGCTAATCATTGATTCGTTTAATTCTTCTGTAAGAGGATGACAGATTAATTAAATATACATAGTAAAATACTAGGATGTTCAAATTATTTTTTAAAGCAATCTTTGTAATTTTCGATTTGTTTTAGAGCAATATAATTTGTTTTCACTAACAGCTGGTTAAATATCAACTATGGAACTATGAGGTTATTTTATTTACTCTTATTTTGTCATTGATTATAGTAAATAAGTAAGATTAGTAGAGATAATTAGACCATAGTTTAAACCATAGTTTTAACAAAAAATAATTAAACCACAGTACAAAACGAGGCTCTGCACACGAGTCTTAATAAAAGAGGATAAATGCAAATTATTTTAGTGCTACACTTTTCAAGGAAATATTAGAAAAATTACAATGTTAACATGTTTTAATTCTCCATGGTAGCTTTTTGTTTAAAATTAATGTTTGTCTGGACTTTGTTTGGATTAGGCGCGTAAGTATTGATGTCATAAAAAGAAAATCAAGAATAATCAGGAATCACGATTTTAAATTACCACCACAACCTCAGACGGGTTTTATACAAAGATAAACAGATGGATGACATAGATTGAACACAACGTCAACATTGACCTAGGATACTGCAATTAGACAAACCATCCTTTTATGAAATCATGTTCAGTTGTGGTTACGTTTGGGGGCACCTATATCAGCGCCCCCAAACGTGAAAATATCACTTTCATTTCAACGATGAATATATTGTAGTTTAAATTAACTAATATGGGACATTACAATGTGCATTTATTCTATGAGGGTGGGTAATTTTCAAGGATAGAACTGATAACGGTATGGATAATAATCATTGACAATTTCGTCATTAGTTTTACTAGCGTGTTTACTTTTTATATTCCTACTACATGTGACCAGTTCTTTTTTCAATTGAATGTTATTTGAACCAAACAACTGTTTCAAAACAAACTGTTATTGTTTTTACTTTTCTTTGTTTACGCTTAGCAATTAATGCAGTGATAGGTGTGACGATTAGTTTTGATGTTAGGACACCAAAGTTAAATTACGTGTACTGTGAATTTTATTGGATATTATCGTTTTATTTTAGGTAGTTTCAATTCAGACCTACTGCAAATTGTGTATAGTAGTTGTATTGTGGTGGTAATAATTATGAAAGAGGCAGGTATGCTATGGAAGATGGCATTGTTGACTAGGTCTATACACTTCTCAATTGACTATTACTCTCTCTACTGTAGCTTACTTATAATCAGTGTGCGAAACGGCTGCAAATCTCACTTCAACAGTTTTCACATCGTAAAATTGCAGAATTGCTGTTTTACCTATTGTAAAATTATCGGATTTAAAATGCATATCGTATAGGCCTATGATGGAATAAAAACATATTTGGTCACACAACATTTGTTTACAAGATGATTTTTATCATTAAAACTGCAAGAAACTTTGTCTTTGTGTAAACTAGCTGATCTGAATTGTACACGGTTTTAACTGACTACTGAATTCCCGTACGTAGGACGGGCCAACACCTCGTATTTCTAAAGTTTATAACAGCTGACTTAGTTTTGCTAATGATTTATTATGAGTGAAGAAACTGAAGATGGAAGGATTTGTGATTTAATATAAAGA